TGTGGGAGATCGTCAACTGTAGAATTAATCGTGAAGGTGTTTTTAATAAGGATCATCTGTTTAAACACATCTAAATGGCCTGGGCAGCAATTCCACAAAGTTTCATTTATCACCTGGTCGAATCTATGCCTTGCAGATGCAAGAATGTGATTGTCAACAAAGGATTCGCAACGAAATATTGTTTGCGAAATACAGCTTGGTCAATATTTTGTAGAGTTGCACTTGTTTTGTCCAGAAGGAAATCAACTTTTTTAATACTTTTAATTAACTAAATAAGTTTCGTGTGCAAATAATGAACTTTGTTATTAATATAACTTGGAGAACGTTGTTTCTAAACAGTTACATAGTTATTTCTCTAAATTGAAAATATGCAGCACTTTTATATAAAGAAACTATATTAGCATTACTAGGTCGCATCTTGTTTTGTCCGATACTGTATATACCATTTTACAAATATTGTATTGCCAGTGATTTTTTTGAATATTAAACGAAATAAAACCTAATTTTACTATTTTTAAACAAAGATACATATTTATATGACACGGGAAATTTATTATTTTAATAATTAATAATTTTAAAAAAAAAAAAAAAATAAACCCACAACTCTTTTATTTCTTTATTTATATTGTTTTATTTTTTCAGATAAATGAAAATTAACATTGGAATAAAATAACGACATCAAAACCTTATATTTCTAAATAAAAAATTTGATATTCAATGTCTGAGAAACATTTTTCGAGAATAAACCATTTGTATAAACTATTTGTTTTGCTGACTATAACTTGTGTAACTGTATGTTTTCTTGCAATGCTTACTAATTTACCAAATATTGTTAATTACAAACTTAACGTCACTCGTCCGTTTAAAAATGAGAAGTTTTTATTTAAACAGCAAAACCATTCTTATCAACAACTTCAGCAAACAAAGCAATTTAGCGAATTAAAAATTGTAGTTCCGTTTCACATTAATCAACTAGAAAAAGTGCTAGATAACATTAAAAAATGGGAGACATTTCAGCCTTGTAACGTAACAAGCTTAAACAATAAAATGGTAGATTTAATATTTTACATTGGCTATTCCGATGAACACCAAAAATTACTTATTAACCTGAGTTCACTCATGTCAAAAAATATTCACTGTTTCGTCAACAAATATAAAGTTTTGTTCAAATATGTTAATAAAAAAGATGATAAGCACGAGAAAGGCGCTAGCTTAATGTTTGAGGCAATGCTTAACAGAAGTAATGCACATTTTAAAAATACATCTTTTGTGTTTTACATGGAACCGGATGTACGACCAATTAAATCAGACTGGTTGAGCGCTCTTATTATGGAGATAGGAAATGGAAACTTTTGGGTTAAGGGCTCTTGCTTCCGAGGCGATTTGAATAAAATTGGAATAAATAATCCCTACATTCCAAGCTTTATGCACATAAATGGTAATGCTCTCTACAATATTGGTAGCGATGATTTCAGGCATTTTTATTTTAACACTCTTCGTCCTTATGTGATTAAAAAGAACGGTGACAGCAAGAATGCATACGATACAGATTTTTTTGAGTTTTTCTTTGACAGAGACAACTACGAAACAACACGTAACGTCATTCATCAGTTTCATTTTTCTGATTTTGTCCAAAACTACTGGAATACGGTTTTTGACGTAAACGTTCTAAATAAAAAATTTTCCCGTACTTATTTTGTTCACGGTGGCATTCCAAACTATTAATAACTTTTGTTTTAGTTTCATGTTTATGTTATATGTTTAGTTATATAGTCAATGTTTTTGTTTTATTTTTATTTTTAATTCAAATGATTTAGCTTGCATATTTTTACACTACTCTGTAAAACATAATTTATAACTAATCTATCAACAGTTAGTACGTTATTTTTACTCTTCCAGTATTTTTTAAGGCTTTGGTTTTAATTTAAACTGCAAATCAGATTTCAATAATACATATATTTCTTAAAGGGATTAAATTTATCTTACGGCATTAATCTTATAATATTTGTTTTTACATTTACTTAGGTCATTATTACATTTTATATAAATTTACATTTACTTAGGTCATTATTACATTTTATATAAATTTGTTAACTTTCTTTCAAATGCGCAAGTGGTACTTTTTAAATAGTTTTTTTTTTAATGGATTATTTAAAATTAAAGTTTTTACTTTCACATACTAAAGTTGAGATGAAAATCGAAAGCTAATGTAACGCGTTTGGATGTTATAAATTCCACGTCTGTCATTTTTGTTAAACTTAAATTTAGGTATAGCTTTGAGCTTGAGTGTTCACAACTGCTTTATTATAAATTCTAAATTTTATAAAAATTTACAATAATTCAAAAGATCCCTTTTTTTAATTTCACTTCTTTTATAAAATTTTTAATGAGTTTGCTTTGCCATTTATTGCACATAAAATATACTTTGCTGGAAAACGAAAATGACACAATATTATCTTATTTTATTCCTTATTTCTAATTTTGAACTAACTAAATAGAAGAGATGATTTACAAAAAACTTTTTATATAAAATATTATTAAAAAATAACTTTTTTTTCTGATTTTTTTTTTTCTTATCCCAGGGATGTATAAAAGGGTAACCACTTAAGTGTTTGCCTAGCTGTAAGGGGTAACCACTTAGCTGTTTGCCTATACAAAGTAGTAGTCCAATGCACAGAAGGTTTGCTCAAGATGAGAAGACCTAAACCTATTTTTTAATTGCTTTTCACAATTTATTTTATTTAATTTTTTACAACTGCAATGTTTTTAGCAACAACTAAATGTTTTTTTTAATAATTTTTTAAAGAGCTTTTATACATTGCGGTATTTAAATATTACCTCTTCTAAATAAAAACAGGGCTTGGGTCTTACGTAAAATTGCATCTTTTTTATTTTCCAGCCAAGTATATTGAATTCATTATAAATGGCAAATTGAAATCATTAATAACATAATAATGACATACAACTGGTAAAGAGTTCTTTTGAACTATTTTTTTTTTTTATAAACAAATATTAGGTTTGCAATAAAGTAATTAAAAACAATGAGGTTTAAAATTCTACTTAAATTTAAAGTAAACAAATAAGACAAAAGTAATATTTATAACAGATTCTATCTGTCAACCAGCTTTGCACTCCTTCTTTACTTATTAGGCTAGTGTAGATGTGTTAAGAAACATTGTTTTCAGTTTAGAATGCTGGATATTCTTGATTTAGTTGAGTTTTGTTTGAGCCCTGATACCTGCATGAGTTTTGATTAAGTCTCTGTTTTTATGAATAGACAACTACTTGTATTATCTCCTAAGGAAGAAAAAAACTTTTTTTTTTCAGGTCATTGATATTCCAGCAATTTAGTTCTTTCTGTATTTATAAACGGTGATATAGTTGATAAGCCATCAGTCTTTTGTCTTAGAATTAACTCTTACTGATCACTTTTAGAAACCATATATTGGTGAATCAGTGGTAGGTCATCGTGAATCAGTGGTAGGTCATCGCAAATGGCGGACGTATTTTTCTAACGGTAAAAAATAAATAAAAGAAAAAGGATAAGATAAACAGTTAATTTTTCATTTTCAATTCCCTAAAAAGTTTTTGTAAAATAGTTAAAAATCTGATTTAAATCAAACGCTTAAAAAAAATCAAATAAAAAAGAGAACTTTGAATTAGTAAAAGAAAGAACACTTTAAACAAAGAAAAGAACGAAGAAAAAAAAAAAAAAAAAAAAAAAAAAAAAGAAAGAAAGAAAGAGAAAGTAAACAAAGAAGAAGAAAAAAAGAAGAAATAAGTAAACAAACAAGAAAGAGAAGAACAAAACCAATTTTAAAGAGAATAAAGAAGATTGGTTATTCATTTATTTTCGCGATTTAGTTTGTAATTATTATTTTTTAATATAATTATTTAACTTATTTGTTACTTTATTATTATTATTTTTTTTTTTATTTCTTTATTTTTTTTTTCGCTTTTTCACATATTTTTTAATTATTTATTTATCATTAATTATAATCACTTAGTTCTAGTTAATAAGGTTTTCCCGTTATCTATCTAAGTTGTATTATCACACATTATTTATTTATTTATCATTAGATTATCTGTTTAGGAAGTTTTGTTATATATTTTATTATATTTAAATTAATATATATTTATTATATTTTTTGATCATTATTATAACTTTATCATTATTATATATTCTTATACATTTATTTATTATGGATTTATATTGTTTTAATTTTATCTATTGTTTATTATTTTATCTTAGTTATTAATTAATATTATAAACCTATCCCAGCGGGCACGGCAACGTCCATATGACGTTGAATGGACGTCTTTTTAGGACGTTCAGAACTGGTTCTAAATGGCAACGCCAGATAAAGTCTTTTTAAGACGTAATTAGGACGTCTTTTTAGGACGGAATAAAGACGTGTTTTTAAACGTCTAAATTTAGACGTGAATTTAGGACGTTCAGAACTAGTGCTCAATGGAAACGCCGAATGACGTCTTTAAATGACCTAATTTAGACGTTCTTATTTCGACGTCTGAAATACGTGTTCTAACATGGCTTTACTTAAACGTAAGGTTCAATTATATGTTTTCACAGAACTTCTTGAGAATAAGAATAAAATAATAAATCATTTAAATTTTTTAATAATATAATTGTGCTGAGTTTTATAAATAACAACTTTGTAAACTTCTTCTTCCACTTGTTAATTTTCAAAAATCGAACTTTCGAACAGTTGACGTCATTCACCTTCTTTTCAATCAGATGCACTATTTAAAATAATGCCACCAGCATTTAAACTTTTTTTTTTTTGCTGTAGGAACCAGGGAAGCAGTCTTAACCTTAAAAAAAATATTGTTAAGATAAGTATGTAAAAATAAAGGAGAAAGAAATAAATAACACACACACAATATATATATATATATATATATATATATATATATATATATATATATATATATATATATATATATATATATATATATATATATATATATATATATATATATATATATATATATATATATATATATATATATATATATATATATATATATATATATAATTATTAATTTATAAACATAACATCAAACATCAAAAAAAAAACGAATTTCTTAACACTATTTTTATTTTTTTAATAAAATTTTTGACTGAATTGTTGTGACCAGCGTATATAATTATGTATATTAAGTATGCAATATAATTGCGCTATTAGAAATGCTCTATTTATAGTAAAATTATACTTACTTTGAAAGCATGCCCTTCTCAAATGCACTGCATGTTGAGCCACCAACATTTAATAACTTCTATTTCTAAATTCAAATGATAAAACTAGTGTAATTGATATGGGACAATTTAGTGTAAGTTATATTGGGCATATGAGCAATTCATTAGTGTTTTATTCAAAAACAGATCAAATTTCTTTATATAATTTACCCTTATAAAATAAAACTAAACATTTAACCATAATAAAAAATATACTACTTTTTGCAACATTAGTATCGAGAAATGATTGGTCACATTCAAGAAACTTGGCGATAGAACCATACTAGTAAAGATCAAAACTATTCTTAGCTTTAAACGTTTTTTATATTTTATTATTCTTAAGATAAGTAAGCAAATGAATTAATGACTATATATTAGTTAATTAAAAAACAATATGCTATTATAATTTATATATATAAATTATAATAGAAAAAATATATATTACATCTTCGCTTCCAACAAGGCTGCGAACAACCACTATAAGAGTTTGGAAGTTATTGGAAGAGAAAAGATTAAGTTCTTAGAGCAAGATAACGATTGACAGATGACTTATAAGATTGCAAATTATATGAATCAGGGAAGCAAGATGAAAGAAGCAAATTTCAAAGAACTGATTTTCGAAGAAAAAAAATAGCTTTAGAGCAGTGCCCATTATAGTATTTGTAGAAAAGAGAAAAAAAAGCAAAATCACGACGATGTGACAATGGTTAGAGATTGGCTGCACAAGCAGGTCTAACTATGTTTACAATGCGTTTTTGCACCTTGTTTGAAAGAGAAAGGGCATCGATAGAAGATCTGCCCTAGATATGGCAACAGTATTACTTGTGTCTTATATTTGTCGAACTAATATTGTATTGTACTTCAATTTTTAACCTTTTAGTTTTTAACTTGTAACTTTGTGACGTTAATGTAAACGGGGCTTGGCGATAAGACAGTTTATGTCTTCTTCTTGCTCCGGCCAATTTTTATACATGAATGGTTTTTTCTCATTGTAAATTTAATTATACGGCAAAGAAAATATAATAATAATAATAATAATAATAATTCTATACAAGGACGCATTTGAAATTTATAGAGAAAGAGAATAGAATCTAGAGTAAGGAAGTGTTGAGCTCGATAAAGAGATGCAACCTTAGCAGATGCTAATTTTTCAATGGATTTTATATACGGTTTAAAAGAAAGATCAGAAGTAAAAGTTAATCCTAGAAGATGAAGGGTAGATGACTCATCTAGTACATTACCATTCATAAAAATAGGAAGATCTAAATTATTGCGATAACGATTGGCCGAAAAATTGAGTTTTATCTGAAATAAAGTTCACCAGCCATTGTGAGCCCCATGCTGTAGCAGAGGTGTAGGCTTCTTATCATGACAAGAATAAACAGTAGTGTTGTCAGCGAACAATTTTACCTTAGATGTGATAATGTCTAGAAGATCGTTAATGTAAACTAAAAAGAGTATAGGGCCAAGGATTAAACCTTGAAGAATCCCTGAAGTTACAGGATATGAAGAAGAATATATATAGTTCCCTATAAGAATATATATATATATATAAGAATATATATATATCCCTGAAGTTACAGGATATGAAGAAGAATATATATAGTTCCCTATAAGAA